TTCCCGAGGGAAGATAGAATAGCCAATCCTTAGCCGTGTCCTTCAGTGAGAATGGAAAGGCCCTCAGCTTGATTTGTTCTTCTGTAACATTATTTGGTTTCATACTAGTGCAAACTATATGAAACTCCGCAAGATGTTTGTTTGCATCCTCGCCCCTTAGGCCATGAAATGAAGGGAGTAGATGAATAAGGCCCGATTTGAGCTCAAATGTAGCACCTTCATCAAGAGTGGGGAAGGTGATACATAGAGGTTGTTGATTTAAGTTAGGAGCCGTGAGCTCCCTCAATGTTCTTGTTTCAAGAGCCATAGTTGTTGGCTCTTCGGGCTCGCTAGAATGAGAACTAGCACTTGATGATTCTCCCGAGTCGGTACTTGAGAATTTATTTTTCAATCGCTCGAGAGTTTGCTCTATTTCTGGGTTTGATTGGTAGGTGATCTCGTTTAGAGACCGATATTTAACCATACACTATAAAGCTCAGAAGAAATAGAAATCTTTATATGTAAATAATATTTTTTTTTTAAAATAAAATAAAAAGAAAAATTAATTGCCTTTCCCCGGCAACGGCGCCAAATTTGACGTGCACTTTGTCGTGAGTGCACGTCAAAGTAAATTCAACACTAGCACTTATACGTAGTATAGTGAAGTAGAGTTCGTATCCACAGGGAAAAGAATAATTCTCTTTTTATAAAACTAGTAAATAAAAGGGGGGTTTTGGGATTGAGTGATTTAATTAATTTAAACACGAAGATGAACAAGTTATATGTGATTTATTTCAAAGATAAAAAGGACTTGGCATTGCTACTTTCCACTTGTTGATATATTTCAGTCGATCATTGTTATATCTATAACTTATCTCCTCTCGAATACTCAATCGAGGAGTATATCCAATTCATCGAGGAAAGTTATTAACAACGACCGTTCATTAATAACCCTTACTATTAGTCAAGTATAGAACAACGCCATATACCGACTTGATAGTAGCATTTAATCTCTTAACTCCTTGATGAAATCAATTGAGATTGATAACCTCAACACAACGGTTTCGGTTTAACCAACAAAATTAATCCCTCTTAAGTTTATTAACCACGACCGTGCATTAATAAACCGAAGTTACTTACTTGTGAAACCATCAACGATTAACCATCGGTTCGTTGATCGTTTCTAGTAATAATTAATATATGAAACAAAACTAGTTGATCCTTTAAGTAATGTTCAAAATATTAATTTGAAATGTGAATAGGAATTAATTAATACTCAAGGAAGAATATTAAAGAAAATAAATCCTACTGTAGTTAATATCAAGATGTTAACTAATTGTCATCTTAGTAACACTCCCCAATATTAACATAGAGGAAGGAATAGCTATTACTAAGACCAATGTCAAGATGTTAACTAATTGTCATCTTAGCAACACTCCCCAACATTGATATAGAAATAGTATTTAAAGGAAGAATTAATATTCAAGGAAAGAAGTTAAGAAAATAACTCACAACTTTAATAATCAACAAGCTTCAAGAGCAACACCAAGAAATGGAAGTTTAGCTCCTCATTTGGAGACTAAACATGCTATAAAAATATAAAAGAAATGCTATTCTAAACTGAGCTTAAGAGTATGGAAGAAGGGATGATTATTTGTGAAGGAAAAATGTGCTATTTATAGGTGTTTTTCAACACCTTGGGCCGGGTACCCGACCGGGTAAAGAGCCCACCCGACCGGGTGCATGTCAAAATCAAATATCCTCCACGTTCTGGCGATCTTTGGCATGTTAAAGTGTCCCGGGTCAAGTCAGACCCGACCGGGTGGAATAGGGGACCCGACCGGGTGAGTGCACTTTCCAGGCACTTTCAGTTGTTGAATCAGACCCGACCGGGTGACATCTTATGCCCAGTCGGGTATTTTCTCCTGGACAGTCAAAATCCTTTTTTCTTCACTTCAAAGTCTTCCTTTCCAACACCATAAATCCTAACTCTACTTTACAACTTACAAATGAGAACTAAAATACGATTACAACTAAAATCACACAAATGTTTACAAACTAAATAAAATGGTAAACAATCCACACAAATCAAACATAAAAACACACACTTATGCACTACTAATTAGTGCATATCACTAAACATGATAGAAAATATAAAGAAAACACTAATCTATACTGAGCTAAAGAGTATATGTGAATTGGTGAATTTATTGGGAAGGAAAAGAGTGTATTTATAGGTTTTTGGGAGCTGCAGGGCCTGATACCCGATCGGGTATCCTCTATCCCAGAAAATTACTTTTCTGGGCATACCCGATCGGGTAAGTAGGCATACCCGATTGGGTATGAGACAAATCTTCACGAAAATTCGCTCTCACGATCATCTGTCTTCAGATTTGATTTGGACAATCGAATCAAGCAAATACCCGATCTGGTATTGCCTATACCCGACCGGGTACATGAGTAATTTTTCCAAATCGAAATCTTTCATGCCTCCTTGAACTTTCCTTGATGATCTTTTAGGGTCCAATCTTGATCCCTTGGATGTTCTTCGACCTGTTTAGCTCAGAATAGTCCTAATCTAAACAAATTACAAATAATTATGAAAATAAAGTATTACACCAAAAGTGTGTAATTTCAACAACTAGAACTAATAAAAACTAATTAAAAATACAAACATACATAATTGGAAATTCACACTATCAGGTCCAAAGGCCCAACACACTCCTTTGGCTTTCGTAAGAGTCTTTTAGTTGCGTGTTTAGTTTAGTGGATTTTTAGGCAAGAGAATAGTAAGAACAAGCAAGTAATTAGAGGCAAAATGGATCCAATTCTATATGAGGTCTATAGAAAGATTACAACACTTATGTGGAGCGGCACTCCGACCCCCTAGCCCAACCTGAATGCTATAGAAGAAACTAGAGAGAAGTTTAATGCTTAAGAATACAAAGTTGTCAATCCTTCATAATGAAATATGTGTTGCTACTTATACTATAAGGTAATAGGTGGAGGGGGGTGACGTGTCCGACCCGGAATGAATGAACCCCAACCTTAAAATCTTCCATATCTACTGCATTAAATGTGCTTCCAGCCAATTATGAGGTTTCCCGCCAGCTGCTTGGAGAGTTGTGTATCAGATGGCTGTTGGACCTAGAAGAGAAACCTAAGTGAAGGGAACGTGTTGAGCGGCAATATCCGTGTGGGGTGGCCGAACGCCGATCCCAAATTGGGTATCTTGCAAGCGGCCCCGTATGCAGATTGGGCCTCCTAGGAAATTTGGGCCTATACTGGGTTGTGACCTAATATCCCGACACATGTTATGTGCGATTTCGAAGCACTAATTCCTTTTATTAAATAAAACAAAGAGGGATGTGCCTAGTACAAAAAAGTTTTCTCATGAAAAGTGAGGAGTGATATAAGCGTGACACAATGCTATACCTAAATTTGTAATACTTAATAGTAAAAAAGCATATGCAATATGTGTTGGAAAAATTTAAAGTATTTCAAATGAATAAAACATTTATTTCTTTTAAATTATTTTTTTCACACATTAGTTTATTGATAATTATTTATACATCTTATACATAATAAAGTTATAACTTCAATGAAAAATAGTTTTTGAACGTTTGGATTTGCACGTTACAAATTTTTCATGGTTTGTTGACTAAGATTAAAATACTCCTTTGTTCGACTGCTACTAGCAGTACGTTATCTTTAAAGCATAACGTTATTTTCTTTCAATGGGCACATGAGCCATTGGTTGCTTTCAACATGGAATCAAAATACTTTATCTCATCATTAATACTAGTATTATTTAATGATTCGAACGTTTATCTTAAATAAAAACGTTTTCCGCTGTGCAACAACGTTCGGTCTCTCCGAGTGTTGGTATATATTAGCCAGCTGCTTTGCTTAGTTTTTAGATTGAGAGCAGCTAAAGATTATTCTCCAAAAATTACTCTGCTGGATTAATATTATTTTCTACTCTCGTTGTTCTGTTACCGGCTTACGCCGAAGAGCTCGTTATATCTTGGGGAAAGGTTTTCGCTAGTCGGAAATACTTTCTTGAGGACAGCGTCTGACGCGTCTCGAGCTAGATTATTTTCTAACGTTATTTTTGCAGGGAAATCCGGCCGAATTTCCACCAACAATATGTAAGGTGCACATTAATCTCGTTAAAAATAGGGTTTTTTACAAGAATATCACTAAAATAAAACATATTTACATAAATATGATTATTCATTACTATAATGTGGTGTTGTGGTAACTTAAGTTCAAAACTTGAACATGAGTTACTATGATTTCATTACTACTCTAGCCACTAATCACATTTTTGTAAATCATCTTTATTTTGGTCATATTTATGTAATTTTTTCTTAAAAATATCACAAAACGATTTCTATAGTTATTATATTATTTTGGTCCACTTACTTCCTTTTTTTTTATGGCTAAGGTCTAAGAATACTTCTCATTTTTTATTTAAAAAGTACTTTATATTTGAACCTCCCTCATATATATTGGATCAAATAAAAAGCCATCTAACCATGAAAAGTAAGAATCAACCCGGTGCATCGGATTTTAGATCTAATGTCTCTAAATATATCAAAAATGCATCAAAGTGGACAAAAATGATCAGAAGTACGTGGATGACGAAAAACTTGTCAATGCAGTAGTGCACCTCATATGACAAAAAGTGGAGCCGCTTTCACTTTACACGGGAAGACTAATATTTTTTAGAACCGGACCCTACACACACATAATTCTTTTCTTATTAATTCATGAAAAAAACCACTAACATGACTTCTGAAAAAGTGATTGACAAAAATGTGATATAGTAACTACTTCTATTAATCACTATGATGCAAATTGAACACAATTATAATCACTAATTATTAGTAAGTCATATTTGTGTTATGACTTTTTATTGGTAACATTAAGGAAAAAACTCTTAATTCATCAAGTTCTTCTCAATAGATATTTTATGTTTTGTCTAGATTCAATTCCAAGAAAAACTCAAAAAAAGGAAATAAGAAAAAAAAAATGACTCAGCTAAATTGGCCTAAGGCTAAGAGAGCCACGTGAAGAAGGGCACCTAATTGCCAGAGCTCGGTTCTTCAATCTTCAGTCTTCTCCTTTCATACGAATTTGGGGCCAATGAACCAGACCCCCACGCCTGAATGCACCAAATGCGGTAATTCATATCTTCACAGCTCTGCTTTTCCCATCTTGGCACTTCAAATCTGGATATTTGATCTGGATAAGGCTATGTTTTATTTCGCGACTTAAATTCTTTGTTCTCGAGATGCATTTAGCTGCTCTGAACTGGTATTCCAAAAAAGTTAATGAATTTATGTTTTTGTAGATCAATTGCTTAATTAGCACCCTTCTAAGGCCCACACGATTGGCAAGAAATATAAAATCTACTTTAGAAAAAATGGTTCTTTGGGTGCTTATGCTTGGAGATGTATCTGTATTCTGTTGCCGTAAGACTTTTACTGCAAGAAAGTTTCTTTTAATTTTTGGGATATTTTGAGACGGAAACAGTAAAAAAACCTAAGTGGACTGAAGGCTTATTAAGTGCTTACGGGAAGTCTATCAATTTGAGCTTTAGAAGAGCTGCTTTGGTTGAAGATTTGGGAAGTTTTGCTCAAAGGGGATTTTTAGCTGAATTCAATGCTTAATGCTTATTCAAAGAAAGAAAGACAGAAAGTTTATTAATTAACTAGGTTTGAAGTGATTTCTCGTTTTGATGGCTTCAATTAGAAGGACATTGTCCCCGGTGCCTAGGGCGGGGAGTCCTATGAACGGGGAAGCATGCCCACTTTCATCCTCTCCGTTGTCCAAGTCATCCTTGAGTAATCAGAACCATTTACCCCCAACTTTTATGTTTCCATCATCCATTGCTTCATTGGATTATGCATTGTTCAGAGCACAAAATTTTATACATGGTTTTATCTCCCATAGAAAACCCTTAGAGAGGTCAAAGTTAAGGGGGAAAATTTGGAAGAGATCCCTTCTCCATTACTTCTCATGCTTTGTTCTCGGGGTCTTTCTAGGCTTCACTCCTTTTCTTTCCCCGATTTTGTCCCTCCAAAAGGACGAAAAGGTCAACAATCTATCATTGAGAGCTGAGAATGTGGTGATCGTGGACAATTCGACGGCATCGGATTCACATCCCAAGAATAGTGTGGCGGTATATGGGAATGATGCAAATGTTCATTTCAACCAAACAATGGATTTCCACAAACTCTTAATAGTTGTGACTCCAACGGAGCCTCGTCCCTTTCAAGCATACTACTTGAATCATATAGCACATACGTTAAAACGGGTCCCACCTCCTCTGCTATGGATACTTGTGGAGATGAACTCCCAATCTCTGGAAACAGCTGATTTGTTGAGGACAACGGGAATCATGTACAGGCATTTGGTTTGCAATAACAATAAGAATGTGACAGAAATAAAAAGAGACAAACTTGTACACATGAGGAATGCTGCTCTGTCTCACATTGAAGCGCACCGCCTTGATGGGATTGTTTACTTTGCTGATGATGATAAGACCTATTCTCTTCAACTCTTTCAGGAAATACGAGATATCAGGTTCTGTATTCCATGTGTTCATTCTTTATATACTATTAACATAATTACTGTTAAAAAACATGTTTGTGCTCGTTGCTGTGTTTGTCTACAATGCGAGTTTGTCCCATATGATGGTTTACTGTGGAACTAGTTCAGTTCTTCCGTATCTGAGTTTATTTCTGTTTTCACTCATCTTCTTCCAGCTTGCTTGTGCTTAGTCATATCGCGTTGACAAAGTATACAAATATAGACCTTTTACGTTATAAGCTAACTCTTATTAGCTTGCTAGAGTTTTGATTATAAAGTCCAATAGTTTGCATTTATCTGAACAACCATTTTTATGAGTTGAAAGAAATGAAAATATAGTAAAATCAAAATGAAAAAGGCTGTTGTATGAAATACATATGTGATGTTTTACATCCAAAGTAGGTTATTCTTTTCTAAACACAGTGTTTACCCATTATGTGATATGAATTAGCTTATTTGTTACATGACATTCATAGAATAAGATGCAAACAGCCAAACGCTAGTTGAGACTCAGTTAAAAAATGTAAGAATTCAGTTGTATGACTTTATTAATTAATATTGGTACCTTAAACCCGACTACAAGCTCATATGGGGGAGGGGATTTAATTTTGGCTGAATTTGTTGAGTGAGCTGAGTTTTGCTGAAACTGGGGTGGAAAAGATGAATGAGATATTTAATAAGTTCATAGCAAATAATATCTAAAGTGCATAAAAGTGGTATTTCTATTTATTTCACCAAAAAAACTTCCAGATTACCTTTTTCTTAATTCAGAGATTCAGTCAAGTTAGTGTTTGGTAAAAAGTCTAATTGATCTTCTGCATAAAGCTAACAATAACTCAAACTAATCATTTGTGCTACCAAACAGAGTAAAGCTAAAAATCAGAGTAGTCTGTCATGACAAGAAGACACAAGGATCCCATAAAAATTATAATAAAAAATTAGGATATAGTTTTGGAGAACACGACATTCTACCAAGTCCTAAGAGAGTTCGGTTCCGTTTCTAGCAAAAAACATTTCAACTTTAATTTGATTAAAAAAAATCATGAGCCTCATTTACTAACAATTTACTCAAATATCTCTTCTGATTAAGAAAATGATATTATTGTGCTTTGGAACATTTTTCTCTTTGTAAAAATTTGCTTCAGCTCTCTTTATCATTGGTGATCCGGATTCCAGATTAAACTCCTACTGTTTCAGACCAAAAATGGTTGCTTAGAAATGTATAATTAGGTAGAATTTTTCTGAGAAATGAAGAATGCAGTGATTGTTGTGTGGACAGGCGGGTTGGAGTATGGCCGGTGCCAAGAATGGCTGAGAATAAAAGGCATGTTATCTGGGAAGGTCCTATCTGCCAAGGTAAAAAGGTATTGGGGTGGCACACTGATGATAGGAGGAAACGTATCCGGAGATTCCAAGCACAAGTGTCGGGATTTGCTTTCAATAGCACAATTCTCTGGGATCCTAAGCTGTGGCACAGACCTACGCTTCAACCCATCAGGCTCATTCATAGTGTTAAAGATGGCTTTCAGGTGAGTGAATTACTTTTTTGTTCTCGCATTTTTTGGTTTGAATACTGTTGATTTGATATAAAATACCCTTAAGTGACCAATATTCCCTTAGACCTCTGCTTTTCAGTTTTCTCTGCCCCTACCCTTACTTGTTTTGTGGCGGTTATTCTTCTCGAGTTTTACCATATTCTTTGCAGCATTTATCAATGAGAAATTGAGAATTGTTTCTGAAAGATCGAAATTTTATCATCGTATCATACTGAAGCTAGGCAGCTAGCACTGATAGCTCAGTTTGCAATTGCTAAATGATGTTAGATTTTACAACCAACAAAATACATGCAACCGAGTAGAGTATAGTGTTCTCATAATATCATCATCCCACTTCACTTGTAACATTCTTTTAGTTTTTTTTTCAATTTTCTGATAGAGAAACAAGGAAATACGTTTTCAGTTGCATATTTCCTTTTTTAGTTTTCCAAAAAAAAAAGAATTTAAGAAATGATTGAGAATGAGATTTTCTTGTTTTCATTATTTTTGATAACATGTTTTCAGTTTTGATATTGTCTATAAAACATTTCATATTTTTATAAGGGAAAATAAATTTAGATATTAGGAACTATTGGCTACGGACCCATTATATTTTATAATACATTCTATACCAAACTATTTCATATCCCAATTATTCAAATATTCAAATATATATCAAACCATCAAAAACTTATATCAAACTGTCAAATAAAGCTTATTCGATGGTTTGATATCAATTTCAATTAAGTTGCCGTGTTTAATGTAAAAAAGTAGGTCCTTAACATTTCTCGTTATATATTTGCAAGGTTTGGGTATGAAATAGGTAATTTTATAGCATGTAATGTTATGAGTTGAGGGACAATAGTTAGAATTATTTAAAGTTGTTTTTCGCTTTTAAAATGAATAGCGGAGTATAAACAGACTAACCAAATATGTCATACATTTTGAAAAGTTGAGAATCAACCAAAGAGAAATTCTGAAGGCAGATAACGTGAAACATGAAACATTACCAAACAAACCTGAAGAATCATGTTATGAAACATTACCTAACAGGCCATAGATTACCCTACATTCTCCAATTGCTTACATAGCAGTAATATGATATTACCATAAAATCTCATAACCTGAATCAAACAGGGCCCTCCTCTACCTCACACTCTCATTTCATCCATCTGAGTTACTCTCAATTGATCGATCTGTATATTTGTTCTTAGCTTATATATTCTTTATAAATAAATAATCGTGACCCCACTCTTTTTTATTGAACTTTTGATGTAGTTCTTAGTTTCTATGTTCAATTTGCTTATATTAAATTATACAGAAGTAAAATATTTTCAGGTTTGTCTGGTCCCATAATTTAGACATAAAACAGGAAGGTGGGAGTAATATTACATACTTCGTATTTAATTAATGAGACACTTGTTATGTAATGTGGGATTACTTAGAACCAAACACCTGCCCTCTCAATGAGAATGTTGGTATTCATAACATGAGTAGTTGGCATTGCGTTTGTGTAGTTATATGGATGAGCGGTCAGCTTCTATGTTTTCCATTCCAGGCGACTACATTCATTGAACAATTAGTGGAAGATGAAAGCCAAATGGAAGGTGTTCCGCTGAACTGCTCAAGGGTCATGCTATGGCAATTTGACATAGAAATGTCATATGCTAATTAACGAGAAATCATTCAACCACTACCTGTGCTCCCTCTGCCTCTACTAAGTTTGTATCCACACGTTCGCAGCAGCATCAGCAGCAGCACGTCCAATACATGATGATATTCAAGCCAAGTCATTTCATTTGCCTAAACTTTATTACAAGCCCTTTTTGTTTTTGCTTTCCTAGGTCAGAAATTTGATGTTTTGTAATCTTTCTGGTTCTAGGGTAGATTTTTTTATGTTTTATGATCTGTTTAGGGTGTGCCATTCACTATGTTCTGCGGAATTCATTCGTATTATTTAATTTAGTAGGTATCCAAAAATATTCCTGAAATGTAATTAGTGGATAAAAATGTGAGAAAAGATACTGTTAATATATTGTCATGGTCATTGGAATGTAGGATGAAATATCACGCTAAGATTATACACTAAAATCGACATCATAATTATATGTGATAGTCATATATCATACTTACTCCCTATAATATAGAATGACGATAGTACTTGGATTCATGATAGTATTATAGACGAGTGAATAGATTTAAGAGTACAAGTTTGGTATATTATAAATCCAACTATAAATTTTGCTAAGTTCTAGCTGAAATGGTTGGATTGGTTGATTTTGTTGATTTATGAAATAATTATATTAGGCATGGACTCGGGCCAGGTGGCCCGACCCGGAACCGGACCGGCCCAGCACTGTTTGGGCCCGGCCCGAACCGGTGGCCCGGCTAGAGACCGGTCCGGGTAGGCCCAGCCCAGGGGGTTTACGGTGCGGGCTCAGGTCACCCAAAAGACGAACCGGTTCGGGCCCGGTTCCGGGTTTGTTTTTTATTTTTTTTGTTTTTCAATTTTTTCTTTTATTCTAGGTTGGGGCTGGCCGGTTGGGTGTTTTGGGATGTTTGGGGGGGGGGGGGGGGGGGGGGTTAAGTAGAAAAAGCAAAAAAAAAAAATACTAACAAGCCCGAGGCTCGACCCGGCCCGTACCCGGTGGGGACCCGGGCCGGTTCCAGGCCTTCCCCCAAACCTCAAAAGCCCGACCGGGCCTAGGCCCGGACAGGACCCGGCCCGGGTCCATGCATAAATTATATATGTAGTATTAAATACTCTATATAGTTTACTAATAAAATAAAATAAAAATATTTGAAAATAGCTAAAATGGTACTTTAAGGTAACTACAATCAATTCAATCATAAAACTAACTTCTGTTGTAAAATCATGGGAATTACAGGTATGAATTATTCATCCTTGTAATCAGGACACTAATCTAGCATCAATCCTTGTAACCAACTTAGAACAGATGACTCAATTTGTTATTGTCACCAAATCTGTAGAGTCATCCTTTAGATGACTGATCATCAAGCTGAACCACTATAAATAGAAGCTTGGTGAAGCCTTGTAAAAGAAAAAGTAATTCAGAGTTTTTATCTATATATCTATCTCTTAAATTTAGTCTTCATCTTCTTCATTTCACAACACGTTATCAGCACGAATCTGATCAAAATCTTCAACCATCAGTTTCTTCTTCAAAATCTCCTGCAGGTATTATTATCATTATTATACCCCTTATTAGTCCATGTTAAATTTTAAATCTGAAACTATAAAAAAAATAGTTTTGTGAGTATACAAAATTAATACTCCGTACTTTTCAAATCCGTAACTTATATTCTTTTTACAATGAAAGAAATTAAGAACATACATGCCTTTGAATGATTGTTTTCTAGTCTTCCTGTAGCCTCAGCTCGTAGAAGTAACTATTTTATGAACAAGTCATACTACTCCACAATAATACTACGTAAAGCATAAGAAAGAGATATTACGTAGTTGTGTAGAAAAGAAAAGTAATAGACTGATCGTTAAAATGAAAGGAACGAAAGTAGATGGAGAAAAAAGAAGTCATATGAGGATGGAAAAAAATATACACTACAAAAAAACACGCGTTTAGTCACGGACCGTAGTCACGGATTTGGTCCGTGACTAGTCTAGTCATGGACTAGTCACGGAAATTTAAAAAAATAATTAGTCACGGTCAACACTTAGTCACGGACCAAATCCGTGACTAACATCCTCCGATTGGCCCGTTTGATTTTCCGGCCTGGCTTGTTTTACTCCGGCGACTTAGTCACGGCCACATCCGTGACTAAAGCCGTGACTATGATTAAAATTTAATTTTCCGTCTCCCACAAATTATTTTGCAACGGTATTATGTACGGATAAATTTAGTCACGGACATGTCCGTGACTATGTTGATTAACACGTCATTTACACGTCATTAACACGGGTTGGACGCGTAATGGACACGGTTTTGGTTAGTGACGGACAAATCCGTGACTAAGTCCGTGACTAAATTTTTTATATATGCAAGAGCAGCTCATTCAACAGAACCACACCAATTCATTCCCAGTATATACAGTATATGTTTGAAAGATCGAAGGATGTAGTCTATCTTCTATCATTTTCCCCGTTTATGCAGTTAAGGTATGTTATTTGAATTATTATTTTTATTTAGAATTAGTTGGTTCAATTTAAATTATTAAAACTATTAAATTAGTGAGGTTGTTAATTAATTAACAACATATTCAACTGTAAGCGTAGTAATGTCATAAAATTAGTTAAACTGTTAGGTTTATAAAATAATTTAATTAAAATTAGTTAGCTAAACGTAGTTTTAAACGTAATGATGTTTATGTTAAGTGAAATTATTTAGTTAAACGTACGTTAGTAATGTGTTAATTAAGTGTATTGTGAATTGTTATTGTAATTGTGTATTATTTATTAATTCAAATGACTTTATATACATGTTCAAATTATTGGGTTTAATTTGGTCATATTATTTAATTTAGTGAATTGTTAATTGTGTAGTACTAATAAGATTAAATGTCATTAACGTAATAATTTAGTGTAGGTTTAAATGTAGGTTTACAAAAATAATTTAATTAAAATTCGTTAGCTAAACGTAGGTTTAAACGTAGCTAGTGATGTGTTAATTATGTTAAATTAGTTAGCTAAACGTAGGTTTAAACGTAGTGATGCATGATATGCACTAGTTTATAGTGCATAAGTGTATGTTTTTAATATCGATCTTGTGTAGACTTTCCATCACTTTTAGTTAGTTTGTAAGTATTTATTTTATTTTAGTTGTAATTGTTTTTACCTTCTATTTCTAGCTATAGAATAGTGATAGAGTTTTTAGCAAGCAAAAGGGAAGAAAAGCTGAAGACAAAAATTCTCAGGAGCACAGACCCGGGCGGGTCCCTTACTCGACCCGGTCGGGTCAGATTTGACCCGGAGCACCAGAACATGCTGCAGATTTGGAAAAGATCTGATTTTGGTCAAACCCGGTCGGGTTCCTTACTTGACCCGGTCGGGTCTGATTTGACCCGGACAAGTTAACGTGCAGAAAACAAGAAATCGTGGGAGATAATCTGATTTTGACCGGTACCCGGTCGGGTATGTACCTATACCCGGTCGGGTACCCGGCCAAAGGTGTTGAAAAACACCTATAAATAGCACACTTTTTCTTCACAAAAAATCATCCCTTCTTCCATATACTTAAGCTCAGTTTAGAATAGCATTTCTCTATATTTCTTTTAGCATGTTTAGTCTCCAAATGAGGAGCTAAACTTCCATTTCTTGGTTTTGCTCTTGAAGCTTGTTGATTATTAAAGTTGTGAGTTATTTTCTTACTTTCTCCTTTTGATTATTAATTCTTCCCTTAATCTATCTCTATATTAATGTTGGAGGGTGGCTAAGTGACGATTAGTTAACGTTCCAACATTGATTATTACTAGAAACGATCAACGAACCGATGGTTAAACGTTGATGGTTTCACAAGTAAGTAACTTCGGTTTATTAATGCACGGTCGTGGTTAATAAACTTAAGAGGGATTAATTTTGTTGGTTAAACCGAAACCGTTGTGTTAAGGTTATCAATCTCAATTGATTTCATCAAGGAGTTAAAGAGGTTAAATGCTACTATTAAATCGGTATACGGCGTTGTTCTATATTTGGTTAATAGTAAGGGTTATTAATGAACGGTCGTTGTTAATAACTACCCTCGATGAATTGGATATACTCCTCGATTGAGTATTCGAGAGGGGATAAGTTATAGATATAACAATGATCGACTAAAATATATCAACAAGTGGAAAGTAGCAAGACCAAGTCCCTTTTATTCTTGAATTTAATCCCATATAACTCGTTCATCTTCGTGTTTAATTTAATTAAATCACTCAACAAACAAAACCCCCCCTTTATTTACTATTTACATAAAAAGAAAGTTATTCCTTTCCCTGTGGATACGAACTCTACTACGCTATACTACGTATAAGTGTTAGTATTGAATTTATTTTGAGTGCACTCACGACAAAGTGCACGTCAAATTTGGCGCCGTTGCCGGGGAAAGGCAATTAGTTTTTCTTTTTACTTTATTTTAAGAAAAAGAAAGAAAAAAAAATATATGGTTCAAGTATAAAGATTTCTATTTCTTCTGAGCTTTGTAGTATATGGTAAAATATCGTTCACTGAACGAAATCACATACCACTCAAACCCCGAAATAGAACAAACTCTCGAGCGGTTGAAAAACAAGTTCTCAAACTCCGACTCGGGAGAATCATCAAGTGCTAGTTCTCAATCTAGCGAGACCGAAGAGCCAATCACTATGGCTCATGAAACAAGAACATTGAGGGAGCTCACGGCTCCAAATCTAAATCAACAACCCCTATGTATCACTTTCCCAACTCTTGATACGGGGGTCACATTTGAGCTAAAATCTGGGCTCATTCATCTTCTTCCTTCTTTCCATGGCCTACGGGGGGAAGATCCTAACAAACATCTATCGGAATTCCATATCGTGTGCACGAGCATGTGCCCCAATGGCGTATCCGAGGAACAAATCAAGTTAAGGGCTTTCCCTTTCTCCTTAAAAGACACCGCGAAGGATTGGCTTTTCTATCTTCCTTCGGGTAGCATCAATACATGGGCTCAAATGAAAAAGAGCTTCCTTGACAGGTATTATCCCGCATCTATCTCTTCAAGTCTCAAAAAGCAAATCAGCAACATTGAGCAAGCCGATGATGAGACCTTGTACGAATATTGGGAGCGCTTTAAGAAATTATGCGCTAGCTGCCCATATCATGGATATTCGGAACAAGATCTCATCCTCTACTTCTATGATGGGCTTGTTGATCAAGATAGACGCATGGTGAATGCGGCATGTGGAGGGGGTATTGTCAACAAAACCCTTTCTCAAGCAAGGGACCTCATCTCCGAGTTGGCCGAAAACTCGAGGCATTATAATGGGAGGTCATCATCAAAAAGAGTTATGGCAGCGGAATCCAACAATTCGTTGGAAAGTCAAGTGGCCGGCTTGACTTCTTTGGTCAAAGATTTTCTTTTGAATCCAAAAACCCAAGAAGTCAAGGTCTGCGGCATATGCTCAACACAAGGGCATCCCACCGATTCTTGCCCAACATTACAAGAGGAGAACCCCGAGCAAGTCAATGCTTTGGGTTTCCAAGGTCAAAGAAGATATGATCCTCACGGCAACACTTACAATCCGGGGTGGAGGGATCATCCCAACTTAAGGTACGGAAACTCTCAACCTCCTCAACAATCAAACCCTCCTCCTCAACAATATAAACAACAAGGTCAAACATCGAACTCGAGCATGTCCACCGAAGACATGATTCGATCACTAGCCATGAACATGGCTACGATGCAACAAA